AACTAATTCATTTCATTAGTAAATTAAAATTTTTAATACTTTATTTCATTTTTTTGATTATATTTTTTATATTGATTTCACATAAATATAATTAATGACCCGTGATATATGAGATAATTTTTAGATCAAATATACGCTATATATAAGTACATTATGTGATTCGGTGAGAATAAAGAAGATTTTATGATGAAAATTGAGCTTTCCTTTTTTAAAAGATTATGAAATATTAAGTACAAGTTGTAGATAGTTTATCGCGACGTTAACAATGATATATAAAACTAGTTTTTTTTCCTCTAATCGTTTAATCTTTACGGTAATACAAGTACAGCAGTCACGGTAGATGCACGTTTTGTCAAATTGTTTATCCCAGGAGTTCAATTCCTTATTGAACCTATATCAAGGCTACCAACATATAAATTTATATAGCCCATACTTCACATGTGAATATGCTTCATTAACTACTCTATTCTTCATCTATCTTCTTTCCAATGGCAATACTTTATTTTAAACTTTTTAAATTCCAACGATTTATATTCCTCTGACTACATTTCAAATTTTTATTTTTACTCAATATTTTATAATTTAGTTTAAAGTAAAATACAATTTAAATAATTGAAGAAAATATGATATGAAATTTATTAATTTCTTCACAAGATTTAATTGCGTGTTATAAATTATAATATGTAAAATAATTAAACTCATTTAGTAAAATAAATTATGAAATTTATCAAAAGATAACCATTATATTTGTTAAATTAGTGTTGCATATATGTGCATATACAACATGATATTTAATGATTTCCTTTCGTAATCATAATAATTATCATTTGACGTATGTAGCTTATGATCATTAATCTTTCAAAATATTCCTTCATTTCAACTTTATCCATTTAAATATTTTTCTACAAGAAAATAACGTTATATAGAAATAATGTGAATTCAGATATACAGAGGAAAAACAAACAAGAATTTATATATAAATACATCAAATTTTGCTCCTTCATATGATTGCTTACTAAAATATTAATGGTCATCCAAAATATAAGATATAAGCTTAAATATAGTTTGTTAAATTATTATTTTTGTTTACTTATTGCAATTTCCTGAGAACTCAAGATTCCAAACTTCATTCTCTTGCCTCTAGGCAAGGTTAACTTATTAAAAATTTCTCATTTTAATTAAAATACAGGCAATAATATACGATCTAAATGTGTTATACATACAGTATATATGTGCTATCTACCAATGTATAACGATTATAATTGAGGCTAACCGATAAATGACTCATCAAACAACAAAGCGTAAATTTACGGAGCTTATTATTATGATAAATAGATTGCACATCTATTTATGGTTCCATACTGAACATAAAGATGAATCATCATCCAATTCTGCTTTTATTATTATTTTTTCTACAAGGTTAAGTTAAATGAAAGCAAGCTTGTTGAATAATTTATGAAATNTATCCAAACATCGCCGTTTTGACCATGAAAAATAAGATTTTATAAATTATAATATCGAACATTTTAAACAAAGAAATTCTTTTTTTTAGAAAAAAATGAATTGATAAGCTAATTACAACGCTGACAGAAAATTGCAATAGGACATACATAAGTTCTGAATCACTTCAGAGCCTGGTAGATTGTGATTTAGTTCACGTATTTTTTAATTTATTAATAATTTCATGAGAAAAATTGCCTTAGTGAAGCGAAATATCACTGCTTTATCGCATATTATACGCATCTATTTCTGAATATGTCACGTTATTGGTACACATTTACATATAATACGATCAGAACTAAGCATTTTATCTTTTATCATCATCCGAATTAACTTATTTGAGGAATTTATTTCAAGTTTTTGGAAGGAATTTCTATAATATTTTAAAAGTCTTTCATAAAGAAGAAAACGTCATCTGGCATCTACTACATTGATGAAAAGTAGCTGAATCTGTTTGATAAATTTGTTATTGCAGCTTATGTAAAATCAATACCGAACGAACTGAATGTTAAGGATAAATTTAGATTCTAAGAACATTCATACAAAGCAGCTGAATCATCAAATCTTATAAATGATTAAATTATTTTCTTATAGATGCGTCCAACATTTTCAATAATACCTCATCCGTTCGTAAAATGCAATTATTTATAAAAGAATTTTGTGAATATATATAATATATAAACGATATTATAGACAGTAATCAGACTAATTGAAATATAAATAAAAAAAATCAGGTTGCAAGAAGAGGTTCCATTTTTATTCTGACAAGAAACATACGGCAAATCAGATGATTTTTATCATCAAAAATATTATTATTAGCTTTGAAAAGAGCTTACTGATGTTTTATAGGGAATCCTTATTGATCTAGTATACCGTTACTGTCACCTTAGTAACTAAAACTACTCACTAATAAAGTTCGATAACACGAATCAAATTGCGATTTAAAAAATAATTCCCTAATGAAGTATTCTTCTGTAATTATTTTCACATTAAAAACGTTTTAATTCTAAATATTTTAATAATAAAATCAATCTACCATTGAATTACTTCTCTAAAACGAAGGACCCAGGATCAAGAGTAGTCTAAACTATGCAAATTTCCATACAAATGTATACATAAACCGAAATTTAATTTAATTTTTATCAAATATTTAAATTGTCTGAATTTCATACTTTAATCTTAAAATGTTTCCTTATGCCTCTTGCAAATAACTAGAAACAAGGGACTCTTATAATCATTTTTGGCTCTGCTCTATGAGAATTAAGAGGGCCTTTTTAATCACATCCATCATGGATTTGGCATGCCCACAATGGACAGAGTGGTCCTCGACGTATCTGGGGCAGACCATTCCAAAAAATTACGGGATTGCTCGCTTGAATTCGATTTCGGGACCCCCAGAGCGATAAAATGAGGTCTCTTGTCTAATCTGTGCAATTTATAAACACGCGAAAGTCAAGACCCCGTATGTAAGGCTTATGGGCCTTAGATATAGCTGCCTTGTCTTCCCAAATAGTAGCGAGAATCTCAAATAATGCATTGCCAAAATATACTTTATAATCTATTCTATATACAGTATACTAATTGCAGTCGACATTTTGCAATATTTTGCTATCAATATTGAGCAAATAAATCACCATTGTTGATGTATACGAAAACAAATCGACGATTAAACTCTAGAACTCATTTACAAAGTCCCACTTGGATAACCTGCTGATTCCAAGGACATGTTGATGATTCACACAAGCAGAAATCAAATTTTTCGTGTCTTTTGGAGCGAAGTTACAGCAGCTTTTCTTATTCCATTTTTCATTGGTCGATTTTCTTCACTTTAACAGGAGTTAGAACCCCCTAAATGGCATCTTTCCAAAAGAAGAATCGGCACAGATGCTAGACAAACGATAAGCTTAAATTTCTATAGTAAACAACATAGAAGTTAGCCTCCAAAATGACACGTGCCGTCAGTTGCATACGTTAAATAGCTCGATTCTCCACAAAATGAATGTCGTAGTCGAAAATACTCTAGCCCAAAATAACTTAATTTTTTAAGGCAATCATCATTGCTCTTCTGTTAACAAAAATAGTTTTTAAAGTAAATTTAATGCAACAACTAATGATACATTTTTTTCTAAAATCCATTCAGAAGATTTCTAATTATGAACTGAGAACGTGAATTTTATATATAGAAGAAGGTACACGAAACTCTAGAATCAATATTGCAACAAGGTTCGACATTGCATCAGACTCGGTTTTTGCACTTAAACGCTTGCAAAAATCGAATCTTGCCAAATTACAATATTATTTTCGATCGAAATTGACAAATTTTTAAGTAATTTCACACATTTTATTGAAATTTTCAATTTTCTTCGCGAAACACCACCACAAACGAAAGAAAACTGAATCCCTGACTCTAACACCATCTTGTAAACTGATGAAATTTCCATAAGAATACAGCTAAAACAATTAATGAAATGACGACAGGAACGTGTCTTCTATCCTCTTTTTTTGCCATCATTTGATAAACACAGTTCTTTTCACTGCTTCAATAACGTATGGAACTGTTATCAGACTTATAAGAAAGATTTTTTGGGGATTTATATTCATTACAAATTATTTCGGGACCATAAAAAGTTCTACAATACCAAACTCGGAGCAGACAAAGGGAAAAAAATGGAATGTTTTGTTCCTCTGGAAATCAGCAATAGAAAATTTTTCAGGGCAGAAATATTTAAGACTAGAAAAAAAATGTAAAATTGATGGGAATTTCAGCCAAAAAACAAAACTGATACTATCGAAGTTCGCACGACCTTGACCGAAACAACTCTCACTTTCTATCCCATCACCTGTTACCGAATAGAAATGTCCACGAATTAATTGATCCTCAAATTTTACGCTGTTTACAATCCAGTTTACTGCATTATTTTACATTTTTATACTTATTTAGACATACAAACACGTTGCTCGCGAGTATCCGAAACGTCAACGCGTATTGGCTGATGCTACATTGATAGTCGGAGTGGCACACTGGTAAAACGCCACCCGGCAGCCGAAAACGGAACTAATTTCTTTTTTCCTCCCCTCAGGAGACCGTTTTAGAACCACTTAAACGAAGCGTTATCTGCCAAACGTCATCGCGATGTTGATTGTTTTCTAGCCAATTACTTACTTGTATCTAAAGACGAGGGGGTGGAAACTTACGCGAAGCGAGCGCTAGTTTTACATCCCCCGCAACGACCCGGAATATCCACGATTTATAAACGTTAAGAGGGGCATTTAATTTCACGCATTTATCCTTGAAATTGTTTACCAGGCCCGAGAAATATGCTATGAATCCACGAAGAGGGGAGGAAGAACAACTACATTTTTGTGTAGCTTTAAATTAATAAACAAGCTCGACCGGAAGTCGGCGTTGCACCGGATAAACAAATGGGTGTCATATTAAAGAGGGAGATCAACGCTTAACACTACATCGCCACCTATTAACGAAAATTGTTACTACTTACTTCGGGGTTGTCCGAGTAGGGCGACAGCACCTGACAAAAGAAAGAATATGACATTAATTTCTAGTCTCGGCAGCTCGTTGTATGGTCTTAAATGACAAAAAATGGGGCGCTACCTCGGTTTGTTTTCTCGCCATTTACTAAGTCTTATCCGGATAACAAGCGACCGAGAAAAGCCAGCTTGTTTTCTACTGGGCTATTCTTGACGTTTTTGGCAACTTAACGAATCCGGGGATAGAAACGACGTCGACCGAACGGTTAGCTTTTGGATCTTTGCTCTTTTTACCCCCCTCCTAACCGTCAATTTTCAACGCTATTGGTAAAAACATCGAAAAGAATTTGGCCAGAATCTAAATCCTGGTAGAATTTTGGTGCCGTTTAGAATTCCGAGGTCCTCCGACAGAATAACAAAGTATTGGCACGCGATGAGGTGGTATTCGTGGCACGAAAACGAAAACAATACTTCGCATTGCCGATGATTTAGACCCGCTTTTGCTTTATAAACGGTTAAGCTCTGATGTGACCAACTCATTGCAAAACGTTATAAATGGCGAGTTTTGTGAACGGTCGAAAGATTCTTACCTCTTTGGTTGGTATGAAAGAACTGGGTCCGATGGATACGGGTTTTGGCACCTTCACCCCTTTATTCTAGAAAGAAAGAAAGAAAAAAATAGAATAAAATATCATAATAGTTGCAATTTCTCTTATTACACAATTTTCCTGTGCCATTTGAACCATCCATAGAATGATTTGTTCCATAGATGATCTCGGGTACAAAGTTTGGCACAGGTTTATTGTTTAATTTGATGTTGGTCTCAGTGACATGCTGTTAAACTTGTCAAATATGTATCAATAGCTCTAATGTGGGTGATGATTAAGCTTAGCATACCCTATTGATTTGGGCACTATCTGTGGATTAATTTAAGCCCATTTGCTCAGTATGGCATGAACAGTTCAAACCTCACGTGAAAATTTGAATTATAATGTATGTAGCATGATCTTATATGGATGTAGAGAATTATTTTATGTATATCTTGAGCTGAATTAAAGAGAATTCGAATACATTATACAAGGACTATCCATATATTATAAATTAAGTTACTTCTTACCTTACTGTTAGAAAGGTCCAGATTTGGTCCTATATAAAATGCACTTTTTCCAACTAATTTACTCCCCTTCTTAAAGCTAAATTTATCTTAAATATGTCAAGATATGATTCTGTTTATATATATATTTCTTATTCTCCTCCTTTAAACTTTAATTTATCTTGAAGATTAAATTCTTTTTCTCTCCCCCATTATGAAATCTAACAATAGAATCTTAGTTTGCCAGATAAACTTTTATTTAGTTTTGCTTTTCTTCAATGTAAACTGTATTAATGCCACATAAATTTAAAAATGAGGGTGTAAAGGTAAATACAGCCAAACTTGCCACTCAGAAAAAAACAGCAACTTTTGGGGGCTAAACTGATGTACAATTGTGAGTTAGTCAAATGAAAAAATAACAAGTATAACTCTGAGAAACTTAAAAATACCTGAATTCAGATTAGATATTACTTGAATATCTCATAACAAACAACTTTGGACATAGATCAATGATCAGGAGAATGGAATGACACTTAAAACAAATGTCATTCAATCACAACCTTGGCATTTATCATACCTCAATTGGAATTAAACAGGGCTTTTATACATGTGAAAAAGCACATTTATAAGAGTTTATATAAGAAAAAAAATTCTAGAATTTATCTAAATCAAGCTAAACTCTGAAGAAATAATCCAGACTTGACTTAAATTAATGAAACAGATGCACACATCTGTTTGATGTTAGCACAGTACTTTACAGTGTGTGTATGATTAAAAGCAGGGATGCTCTAATCAAAATATACACAGCGACTTTAAATATTCTTTTAAGTGATTAAATAAATTCTAAAAGAGATTTATTCTTCTTTAATTACCTTTAACTGAAATTCAGAAGTTATTTTTCTCGTAGTCTCCCATTGTTAGGGATATGCAATATAAAATGAGACTGGTTAATGATGCTTTAATGTATAAATACGGGTTATTTTACAGTATAAGAATTGTGTATAGTAATTTCAATAACCCAATTTCATTTTATTCAAAAATATATTCATGAAATATCAAATTTTTCCTGAAAATTTTAAAAAATTCTTCATTAAATGTCAATTATTTTATAATTTAACTAAAATTTTTACTCCCAAAAATCGATCATCTAATTGCTCATGTTTTATATGAAAAAAACAATGAGATTCACTAACATTCACATTCAAATTACCAATTAAAATACAAAAAATAATAGAGAAATATTAATATATTTAGTAGATTGAATAATCAGAAGTATTGCAAAGAGGCACACACAAAAATTAAAAGGCTTAATTGTGAGAATCATACATTCTGTCAAGTTGACAGATTGAATAATCAGAAGTATTGCAAAGAGGCACACACAAAAATTAAAAGGCTTAATTGTGAGAATCATACATTCTGTCAAGTTGACAGCAGGCTGTGTCATGTTTATGGAGGTTATTCGTCACATAAATGTCCGCTTCCAAAAAAGTGCTTAAATCAAAAAATTTCAACACAAATTTAAAAATACATTTTCTAAAAATCTCACCTGAATCCACAAAATTTGATTGTAAGGATCAATCAGCAACAACGAGCAGCCGATTTCGCGACAACAGTAACTGAAACAAGGCATTTTGTTGTAAAAACTAGGCGATGCCATGGGTTCTTATAAAGAAATCCAATTCAAGTAACAAAATATGATACTACAAACGGAAAATTTCGAGTGATAAGTGTTATTTTTTATCTTTGCAAACAGTAATCTTCTCTATCTTAGCGAATAACAAGTGCGATATCTTTGTTTTCTCCGACTGTATCTCCTTTTTTTTATTATTACTTTTTTAAATTCCCTTGCTTTCTTCTATTTATAGAAAGGAAAGGTTGCTAGAAGAGTGTTTTGGCTATTTATTTTCATTTATCTGTTTTAAAAAGAACGGAAGGGGGAATAGTTAACGCTTCAGACTTCCGGTATTCGTTGCTGATTTTTGTCATTGCTGCGCGTTATTCTAAGTTCGATGACCGTATTTAACTACGATTATTTTTAATATTCATTTTAAAAATTATCAGTTTTTGATTGGAGTTAGCTCTTTTAATAAACAACAACGTTACATCACCAATTTATCCATAGAGATACGCGATTGTTACTATTAACACAGTTGCTAGCCGTTATGTGTATCGTTTTTTTAAGACATTATTGGCTAGATATATAGAGAAATTCAATTAATTACTCAAATTATATTTTTATATTCATAAAATGCGTAATGGCTCTAGATTTTACGTATTATACACAGCAAAACGTTAACGAATACAATCATTTCGGAAGCTGATCCAGGCAAAGTTTAATAAATTATTCATGTCGAACAATTAAATTGAGAATTTCGGGGATAAATTTTTTAAAAATGTGGTCGTTTTATCGGGTCAAAACAAAATTTAATTGAGGAAATAAGCAAAAATAGACATATTTTCTCCTATTTTTCTACTCTTCCCCGTTAATTTCTAGCAGTTTTATCCTCGCAGCTACATATATATAGGAACTATTTTTACTTAATTTTTATAATACAAGAAGAATTATTGCATTTATTTATGGTTTGCTCAACACAAATTATGTTAAAAATTATGAAGTATTAAACTGTTTAATTTCAGAGAAATGTATGAAATTTAGCTTAAAAAAATCTGTCGATTAAGATTATTACTTGCATCTATGAAATACAGAAGACTTATAATTTTAAGTGTTTAGTTCGTCTGGATAAAGTTAATAATTTTATAAATTATTCATAAAAATTTAAGAGTAAATGAAATTTAATATCATGAATATCTTTAAAATCGATATAATTATAGTTATGAGGCATCTATTAATGATGTTTTCAGTTTTTGAATCACATTTGACCACATTCCCTCCTTGTGTACAATGATACACTTTTGGCAAACTCCCGTCCCATTTAATTAAGTGTACAATAGTTCACGGTTTGATGAACTAGTACATGCAATAGTTCGCAGTTTCGTGGTTTGGTTTGGTTTGGTTTATTTGGTTACGACGACACAACACACGGATGATCTGCCAAGGGGAAGCTTCCCGAGGGAACTTTTAAGGGAAACTGGCCCCCATTTAGGTGTTACCAACGTAAAGAACACCCGAAAAACTACACGTAGCCAGCCCACTGGCGAGGCGCAAACCCACAACTAACTACTAGTGTTTAGTGATGTATCCACTCGTCCAACCAAATCGAGAAGGACCTGCAAAATCTGCGACTAAACCTCTGATGCCAAAACTATAGCCATGGACCGAAAAGAGTGAAAGACCATTATTAGTGCTGCCGAATTCCTGCAACACCTACAGCTACATATGGGCTCTGAAGATAACCCCATCTCAACGCTAGCTAAAGGATAAGAAAGAAAGAAAAAGATCCACTCGGCCACTGGTGAGCTTCACGGTTTAATGGACTCACTTGATATTGACGAAATTACTTTAAACAATTTCTGCATATATTTTCTAACTGGTAGTTTATTCCTATCACTAGGTTTAAAGAACAAATCTATTCGTACGCCAGAAGTCAACGTATACAATGCTTCGACTTCCCCTCCCAATCGTATACAATGATGCACTTCTTGTGATCCCATTCCTCCCTTAAACTGTACGCGTAATTAATGGACATCCATTGTAACATAATTTTCCATATTTAAAATAGTATAAATATCTTCAAATATTTTGAAACTAAGTACCTCAGCTCGAACAAGATCTAGTTTGGGGGTTTGAACCTTGTCACGTGATCCTTCCATTAACTAAACTATAATTAATGGAAGCAACTAACCATAGTTATCTATTGCTGACCACATTGAAAGTTACAATTTAAACCTGAAGAGGAATTTTAAATTATAGTTCACATTTACAACTCGCTCTAAATCAGGGCTTATTAAACTTTTTTTATTCACGACCCCATTTATGATTGTGATTTTTTCGCGACCAAAAGAAAAATATAAAATAAAGATATATACAAATTTTCAAAAACAATAATGATGTATTACCTTGTCTCTTGTGTTACAATGGAACAGAGACAACTGAATATACGGAAAAGTGACAACACTGCACTAGTTCATACTACAATCAGTGCTGCTGAATCATTGTCTCCCTGCACCAGAAGTGACACAAAGAGCAACTTACGAAACCTATGACACAAAGCTTGCCATTTTCAAACTCTCACAAATTATTTTCAATATTTTTCATTAAAATCTCGCGACCCCAAGATTTCGCTAAGCGACCCCAAATGGGGTCGCGACCCATAGTTTAAGAAGCCCTGCTCTAAATGGTCCAAAATTTGGATGAAAATCACTTTACCCAAAATAAAATTAGGCCTACATAAATGACTTTAATAAAGCAATAACAGTACTACTGCTCGTATAAAAACGGGCAATGCAATGAATAATTTAATTTATGACTCCGTATCAATTACATTAAGAAACTACAGTAATTTACTAGTAAAAAAGAACGAAGACTTTCATAGAAATCGCTTTCAAAATGTAGTATCTTATAATATTCTAACAATAACAGTTCTAAAGAAACACTTTAAATGCGATGCAATTTTATAAATTGAATCAGGAGAAAATCAACTGTATTTATCAACAGGAAATTATAAATAATGAGAATACAGCAGATAGGGGATGTACGAAAGAAAGAAAAAAGCCTTTTATATGAAATTTTTGTACGGTTCTATAATTTAAATCTCCAATAGGTCAATTGCAGAAGAATATCTCAAATTCTGCTTCGATATACCACAAGAAAATTTACTTTTTTACCCATTTCCCCCTTTAAATTCTTAACACAATGCAGGACAAAGAACCAAAAACAGTAATTATTACAGATATGGATCTTAATTTTGGATTTGTCATGTTAGCGAAGTTCCAATAATTTGTTTTCCCGTTGTAAAAATCCTCAATGGTATCTTCAGATACAGTACTCTTAAATAAAAAACATTTGAAAAGTCGAATACCTCTTATAATTATTATATAATTTGATTATATTAAATTTAATTAGCAATTTATATACAAAAATGTCGGACATTTTGTGATAAAAACAAAAATCAACCGAAGATATAAATAGCACTTTTAGTTCGTAGATAAAAGACGAATTTGATATATTATCAGTAAAAAAAAGGTTACAAATAGCTATATAAGTGATTACAGCAGCAAAACAAATTGGCACAGTTTGAAAAAACACCAGTTTTTTTTCCACATTCGTCCACACCCAACTTCAGGTGTAAGTAAACAAGGTAAAAATAGAAAGAAAATTAAAATGATGATCCACTTCTACAAAAACAATAATCAAGTAAAATAATTCCAAAAAAAAAATGCTCTTAACAATAAAACTAATTATATGTAAGAAAGATAAGACCATGTTTTGCAATGTGGAACTATTTTAAACCATGTAAAATAATTGAAAAATTATGAAAGTGCCGAGTGTTATTAATAGAAATACTGTTTATCAACTAACTTTCGCACCTTGCAGCAGCGATATAAGTGCTTAAAACTAAGAAATTTTTACTCGAATTAACAAAAATTTTAAAACCAAGATGTTCCTCGACACGTACTCGTTAGTAACAAATAAAAAAGAATTACACGTAACGACTGTAATTTACATGAATAACAGAAAATGAGCTTGAGGTAAAGCTCACGTTGCAACTACTTTATTTTCAACTTATCTAAAAACAATGCTTGTTTACCGGGACGTAGCCAGAAAGACGTTGTTTTCCGGATGTTTTCGTTGATTTTTTTTGACAGGTATCTATAAATATTTACTTGAAAATTAGTATCTAAATGATGATAGTCACAATGACTTTTTCGAAGCGGTTAATCGCGATGTCCTTGATTACTGTACCTTGTAAACTGCGCCATATCAATATCATAAAGTACTTCACCAGATCCAGGTAAAATAATAAAATTTAATGTTTTTAACTGTTAAAAATAGATTAATATAATAAAGATTTCAGTCTGGTGATTGTTCCATTAACTGGAGGGTTAATTTAATCAGAGATAGTTAAAGTTATGCATGACTTTCAATAGAGTGAAGTTGTTTAGAATGAGTCATTTCGCAACATTCTATTCCCTTTAAAAAAATTTATGATTAATTTGTCAGTTACTCCATATATATATATATATATATATATATATATGGAGCGCACAGCTTCCGAAACACTAATTCACACTCAAATTATAAGAAAGGTATGCTTTATTGAAGTCAATATTTTAGATGAATTAATCAATGCTACTTTAACAGTGGTGAAGTTTAAATAATACTAACATTTTCAACCTTATTAATGGACCATCTTCAGGTGTGGGAAGTTGAAATTGAGAGCTCATTCACAGGGTCAAAAACATTAACAATGGGTGAAGTTTAAATAGTGCTAAAGGTACATTGATTAATTCAACTGAGTAATCACAATGGCTAGTTCACTTATCACAAATATTTTGAAAATCTTTAGAACTTAACTACTTTTGAGCATCTCTCGCTCATGCTTTAGGAGTTATTGAGCCTGTAAAAGTGGGCCAGATTAGCATGAAAGCATTTCAGCTTTAAATAAGGAAATATTAACTTCAATAAAGCATATTTTTCTTATAATTAAGGAACTATTAATGAAACTTCAAAAATTTATGGGTTTGCAGGTTACTTAAGTTCTACGAATGATGATTTAATATTTAAAATGGACTCTAATTCAGTTAATGATATGAATATTTTTGTAAAATATATCCAGATATGGTAATAATTAGAGCAGATCTGTATCTATGATAAGACAATATCTATTTTTATCTACATTACATCTCTTGTACTTAACTATAAAAGAAAATCTTAAGTTGACCAACATTTATCTGAATTATCTTAGGTTAAAGTTTACTAAACAACATGTTAAAAGGATTTAGAAAAACATTATGATGGAAAGTTTTAATAGTAAATAAACCTTCACTACACTTCACTACAAAAGGAAACACTGATTCACTCATGTATTTTCAGTAGCAGGTTGGTTATTTGTGATTTAGCACATTGTTCTGGTAAGGAAGTGAGGTCGACTCTAACTCAGGTATAGTATCATTGTCATCATCTCATTTTCATTAACAAATTTCTTCTTTTTCATTATATCCTTAATTACAATTTTGTCAACTTTAGTCTTTTGTCTTCTAGTAACATAGAAAATGACAAATGAAAATTGTATTCCATATAAGCTTAGAAGTATAATACTCATACTTGTAAGCTTATATAAGCATTACTTGTTCTTATAGAAACAAACTTTATTTTAATTGAGGGGAAAATAATCTAGAAAAATAATCAAAATTTAAACCTGCAATGCTCATAGAAAGCCTATAAATAATTATATTTAAATGGTGTTTAACATATTATGGTAAATATTTTATATTGTACAATATTTACAGCAAAGTAAGTTATGTAATTGCAAAAATTTTATTGTTTTTTATTATAAACATAAAAATACTTGTAAAATTTCAAAATATCAATACAAATGTTAAAATGATTGATCATTGTCATAGATGTAATAAGTTTAGACAAATACAAATTTTCTTTCACTTATCTGTCTTCTAAGCTTCAGTAATCAGCACTATCATTATTTTTCCAAGAAAGACAAGCACCATTACCAGAGTATACAGTAGCTGCTGAGTGCAATTACTCTAAATAAATATACTCTGCTGTTACTACTGTATAAAAGGAACAATTTAAATAGATAATGAGTTCCAATAATCGATAAAAATAACCGTCCACAGCATATGTCACTAACAATTTCTCTCTCTCCTTCTCTTCTACCTGCAGGTGCCAATAGAGCTTTTTTGATATGCATTATGTTCAGCTAGACCCAACAGCTGACATTGATATTTCTTTTGATAGAGTGCAACTGATATAGTATCACAGATTAAGGTTGATTTCACAGATATTAATTAATTAATTCTGATTCATTGTGTTCTTGCATATTATTTTTCAAAGCACTGTCTTCGACAACAGTTAATGTTTAATCAAAGTTAGAAATGCCAGCAATATAAATTACCTTATTGCAACAAGCAATAAAACAATGTTTAAAGAATTGAAAACAAGGCTGAAAGCATAAAAAGACAGTTTAAAAGTGCCTATTTATCTGAAGATAACAATAACTGTAACCCAAACTCTGATTACAATAAACGGATTCAATTGTAATTCTTAATTTATATTTCGTAATAAATTCAGTTCTCTATATTATTTTGTTTTTTTCTCATGTTATCATCTAAATTATAAATATTAACATTATTATTATTATACCTAATTGATATTACAAAATTCATTCCCTTGTTATAATAAACAAAGTAGATTAGCAGTGTCTTACATAATTTAGGGAGGAAGACTCAAACAATGATTGGAGAGAAGAGGTCAAATGACAAATTATGTTTAGACCCTATGTAATACTTCAATGTCCCCAAAGGATAAGTTCTGACTGTCCTTGATTACTCTTAGATATGTTCTAATAAGTAAATAAACTATCAGTTATTACTTGCACAAATTAAAATTATCAATGAAATATTTATCATTTTCAGTAAACATGTTTGTTAATATATAACTGAATTTATGAAAATAAAAATCAAAAACATGAATGTGAATCAATATTTTAGACATAACAAAATCTTACACATACAAATTAATTAAAATTACATATGAAGTTTTTCAAACTTTTAATTTTGAAAATTGAAAATTATGTTAATCAACTTGTTGGAGTGATATTCATGAAAATTAAGACTGAAGATAAGTTTAATTTGTTCAAAAACATTTAAGTTTTAAAATAAACCAACTCTTAAAACTTTCTTTTGATTAAAAAAGTATTGACAATAAATTATTTTCTATAGAAATATAATCAAAATTTTAGACACTGAAAACATTGATCAGAGATCTGACTTAAAAAATACAAATTAGAATTTCTGCCGATGCTTTAAAAAACTTCAGATGAGCAGGAATTCAAAACAGAGTGGATTTATAATAGTTTTATTCCAGAAAGAATTTATTCAAAAAAGTAATATTCCTAATTTTTGTCTTAGCTTACAAATAATTATATTTTCATCTTGGATTAGTTTAATCTCCCTAAGGAAACCTAAGGAAAAAAATTCCTCATTAACACTTATCAATGTTGTCTTTAATAAAGACATCTGGCTGACATTAAACTGAGAACAGTATTGTGCTCCTGTATTTCTATTGTTTAGAGGCTGAGATTAGTGGATAGCTGAGATGGGAATATACCTGCATGTCAGAGTAAACAGGCAGTCCTTGACTTTTGGATGCAATGTGTTCCTAAAATAAGTACAAAAGTCCAAAAGTCAACTGTGTAATAGAATTGTATGATGTAAAGGACATTCTGTTCCCAAAGAACTACAAATAAAAACTATAAAATTTCTTAAGGTAGAAAAAAAAAAAAAAAAAAAACTAGCTGGTTTCATCAGTTAATAACTTGGCTAAATAATATACCAAATACATTTAATTAGCCAAGTTATTGACTGATGAAATCAGTGGTATCATTTAAATAATTTATAATTTGGAGTTAGTTTTCTGTGTAACTGAAAACAGCAGTTAATAGTGACAAAATAGTTCCATAATTGATAATTGAAGTAACAACCGAAAACAGGTCTTTTTTTTGTAGGCTAGTCAGAAACTGGCAGAAAGCATCACTGCATGATACAATAGCTTTAAATTTTTGCTTGTTGACTGAAAAATATATGAAAATGCAAATTTACCATATAAAAAGTGAGAAAAGTACCAAAAGTATGTTATATAGAAGAACAAGTTGTCCAAAAGACAAATGTCTGCAGTCAAGCATCACCTGTAGTATGAAATCTCCACTTTCCTCCTCAAATATTTATGAATTGAATTAATGATTTTATAAAAAATAAATATATTTTAAAATATTTTTTAACTTGAATTAAAACTGATTTTTTTCCCAATATAGTTCTTTTTTTTACTAACCACGGAGTTTGTCTTTTGTTAATTTGCTTTATATACTGGATTTACAGGATAGTATAATATTTAAATTTGCAAGTTTCAATTTTATTTTATCAATAGTTTCCAAAATATATCATTTACAAGGGAATCTTAGATTCATATTTACTTTCTTAACTAGAATTTTGGTTGATTTATTTCTATTCAAGGAAAATCACTAATATAAAGTAATTTTTAGTTTGTTCTGTCTCATTTTATTTTTAGAAAATTTTAAATTTAACTATAATACTTTTAAATGAAAGAAAACACAACAACAAAAATATTTAAAAATAGAACAAGAGAGAGATAGATAATTTATCCTATTTTAGGTTGAAATATAGTTAAGACACAAGATAAAGGCAATAATGACAAAAATTACACTAACACGAATTTGAGTTGTCTCCTATTAATTCCTCTTTTGTAACTTAAGTTGACAAGTAGTATAAAGTGGGCTGTTGAGAGGGGGAAGCTGGGAATTTTTCTTTAGTGATTTCTAGCTCCAAGAGTCAATCAAATACTGTTGGGATGAATTGGATTGCCAGGTTCAGGCTGGAATCAACACATTCCAATATTGTGGAAAATCTGAGAGATGCATTGAAGACAAAATGGCAAAACTTTACTGATAAGACATACAATGATTGGTAAAAAGTACAACTAAGAGGATCAACACCATTATAAAAGCAAAACGTGAACATACAGAATATTAAACTACATACAGGGCAAATGTTTGTAATAGAGTATAGTATTTAACAACTTTTTGGTAGATAGTATATATTTCCAATAAATATATTTTTCAATTATTAAAAATTCTTCCAAAATCTAGATTTTGTGCTAGCATATACATAATCACATGCATTAGAAATCATTGTTTGTCTTAGAACTAGAACATAGATATTTCTGCTCATAAAATTTGGGCACGGAATTCTGTAGCAGCAGATGGATATTTATCACACAGAAATCAGTGGATACACTTTGTGTGTTTCATTCAGAGATGAATTTGACAATAAAATTTCTGCATGTAGAGGCCATGTGTTTGCTCTAATCTCATCCCTTATATTGTCAAGTTCTATGTTAAAATTATTCTCTTGAAAAATATCAGTCTGTGTTTCTGTCCTTAGATATAAAACAAGCAATAATTAAGCATATAAGCAATAAGAATAAAAATAGTTGAGAAATTTCTCTAGCCAAGTAACATTGTATTTATTTACTTTTATTGTTTGTGTAGTCTGGTTTCTGAACGAATATACTTAAAAAAACACAATTTTTCAGTCCAGTTTAAACAAACTTCAATTATATTACTATACTACTGAATCAAAACGTGTTATTTTCCATTTATTTTTAATTATTTACTTTAATCTAATTCAAACTTCATAATTGGAAACTATATATCAGTATTTCTTTAGTGCAAATTTTTCAGAAACTTTGTTGGACTCCAAATTCTCCATATCAAGTTTCTGAAAAATTTGCACTAAAGAAATACTGATATATAGTTTCTTTTGTATATAAATTTGATACTGTATTCCATTTCTCAAAAATTGTTTTGAAGATATTTTTCAGAACAGTTTTGGTTGTATCATTTTATAGAAAAGAACCTTTACAAAAACTAAACTTTTTGTAGGGTTTTATGCATTTTCTACAATACAATTCAAACTCAAAAGAAAATATATAGCAAATTTAAAATTCTATTTGATGACTACATTGTCTATATCTATAAAGGGCCATTTTCAAGCTTTTCTGAAATATCCAGTTTCTTTGTTACCTATCAAATTACATAAAAATTTTTTTATGTAATTTGATAGGTAACAAAGTTTAGTTTTTCCATAGTTAATATTTGGACACAAATTACATTTAAATTATTATAGCAACAAATATTATTGTTTGTTCATTCTACGATTATAGGACAAATACCACAAGACACTGATTTCAAGATATGCACAGCATTTGTAGAGGATATAGTGATTGAATGCACTATCCAAAAATGATTTAGAAAATTTTCATGAGATCACAGCACATTTTCAAATCTTTCATCAATGACAACAAGCTACTACTGATGACAAATATTATACATTGAATCAGGAGTTT